TTCAGGGCAGGGGACAGCAACTCACAAAGTTCCAGGAAAGTCCCCTTCCGCATGCGAAAGTTTCGCAGCCACTGGGATTCATCCCAGACCTGAAGCACTATGCGGTCCCACCAGTCCGTGCTTGTTTCCCGGGCCCAGAATCGCCGTTCAACAAAATCCACATGCCCCATTGCAAACGTGATGTCCTCGGCGCTGGGTGTCGTGGTTTCTGACAGCTCTGTGCTACTCTCCGACTTCAGGCCCTCACTCCGCTGCCGTAGCCTCCTCGCCTGATTTCTCTGCATCTGCCTCTGGGAAAGGTGTATGATAAGGTGCGAGGCGTTGAGAACGGCCACAACTGCAGCGATGGTCGCAGCGGGATCCATGATCGCAGTGCTGTGGCGTCCGCGCTGTCACTGATCAAAAAGTGCGCGAACTGATTTCCCGCCGGCGCTTTCAGGGAGGGAGGCAGGGCGGTAGTGACTGACGGATGACGACAGTTACCCAAAAGCACCCTCGCCACAATTTTTTACCCAGAAGCCATTGGGGGCTCGACCCAGAATTCCACTGGGCAGCGGGGACTGCGGGAACTGTGGGATAGCTGCCCACAGTGCACTGCTTCCAATGTCGACGCTTTCCCTGGTAGTGTGGACTGACAAAGTCGAATTACTGTCCTTAGTGTAGACACACACGTTCGACTTTCTAATATCGATTGCACATATTCGATTTAACTAAAATCGAACTACTCTCGTAGTGTAGACATACCCTAAGTCTTCTAAAATCCCCACAGACTCAAACTGTCTTGAAAATCGCTGTGCCTTATTGTAGTCCAGCAGAGGGTTAGTGTTCTGAATGTGAGGTCACTTGCGCAAGGAGTTCCAGAGGTATCCAATAGTGTGTTATACCCTACAATTGACCTGGACTACTTCACATTATTTGCTCCTACTACCGAGATGATGCGTGTTATCTAGATTGAACAAACTGGCTTGTTAAACACAGTGTGTTCTTTATTCATATTGCTTCATGGCTTGATATCCAGCTCTTCTTCATGAAGATTGTGCATCCTCCCATTCATCTAATGAAGAACGAAGCACTGGCTATTAATTCTGTCATTGCTTAGCTGACAGCTGTGTCGTGATAGCACTAACTAGGAACTTGTGTTAATTGCATACTGTCGTAGATCTAGAAAAAAGTACTGACGTTCTGGAGACCAGGAGAGAGAGCGAATCAAGAAAAGGGTGAGCGTGCAAATAAAAGAGTTTGAGTCCAATAGAAACAGAGTAAAATTCTGCACTTGAGTGATTTCATTGCAGTTTCTCTCTATCTCTCTATCTCTATCTCTCTATCTCTAAATCTGCTCCTAACTAGTGTGCCGTTGTTTGGAGAGGCTTCTCGTTTGCATGTGGAAATAAAGATGTCCTGTCAGCAGCAGCCTCATTTCCAAAACCTGGATAGGAGAGATTCCTTTTCTGTCTCTCTCTCACCTTCTTCACACTTCAGCTCTTAATGGTAGGGAACAACTTTTCCCTATCTGGTGCTTCACGCTGCTGTGAGGCCAATATGTTGTTCCCGTGGTGCGTTGGCAGAAAAGTGCCTATTTGTTCACAGTCCAGCTGCCATGAGTTTGCCAACTCCCAAGCAACAGCTGCTGCAAAGAATTGTCACCGTCTCCTGGCTCATCAAGGCCCAAAAGCACATCAGTCCCCAGGGCCGGCTCCAGGCACCAGTAGAGGAAGCATGTGCCTGGGGCGGCACATGCTAAGGGGTGGCATTCTGTCCATTCTTGGGGCGGCACAGTCTGAGCGGCTTTTTTTTTTTTTCCCCTTGGGGCGGCAAAAATGGTAGAGCTGGCCCTGTCAGTCCTACGCTGGACAAGACCTCCAGAATGGCCTGGGGACGAGTGAGGGTGCTCTGCTGACCCTGCTGGCTCACAGCGAAGGTTGTGCAGTCCATCAGAAAAGTGACAAAACCGTTATTTGGACTAACTTAAATGCTTTAGGCACTTGTACAGCATTTGGGCCTGCAGCTACTAAAGTCAATGGGAAAACTTCATTGACATCAATAGAAGCAAAATTGAGCTGCTTGTTTACAATAACTTCCAAATGCAAATTGGACCAATGTCCACAATTAAAATTCCTTCAGCACAGGACTCTCCCCTCCACCCCAAGCCATCCATCCTCTCCAGCTTGCTCACCTGGAAAAGCCTGAAGGAATGGACGGCTTTGCAATATGGCCAGAAGGCCAGCTCATTCAGTCAGTCTCTGATGACTGAAGGGAGGGGAAGTGAATTCCAGAGTTGAGGATCCTTTGCTGACGTGGTGATCCGTGGTATTTGGCTAATGCAGGAACCTGACATTTGCCTGTGCAGCTTAGTCTTAAAACAGGCATAGTACAATAGCATTGCTTTCCCAGCCATTTCAGACATCTGTAGTTGCAGCGACATGTGCTTGTATTGAGAAGGCTTTGTGGGAGCCAGGAAATGCATCGAACTTGCTTTGCATAGCGGAGGAGAATGTGTTGTGGAGATCGAGCATATGAGGTGTAAAGAAACAAAAGCCACTGCCGTTGCTCACCGTGTCTTGGGATAGAAGAAATCAGAACAATATGGCTGTTGCCTACTCAAAGAGTCAGTTTTGTGTGCACACATGGAGCAAAGCACAGGTGCTGGGATAGAAAAGCAGCTGTTGAATTTAGTAGGATGTTTACTAGGAACAGGCCATGTCAGCTATCCTTTGAGACACTGAAGAAATGCTGCAGGCTACCGTATGTGAGCCATCTTTAGTAGGCATCAGCTCTGCTGATGCTGCAGCCATGGTAGGACCCTCCCTGATTCTGTATCTGTTTCTCCCCTCTGTTCCCATTCACGTCTCCTGAAGGAAGAAAATCATCATCATCACAGGTTTGCATAATGCTCTAGGTGTTAGATAAACAGAGAGGAAGGTACAGGGCCTGTCCCGCAACGCTCACAGATCACTGCTTTGACATAGTTGAGCTTCTGTTTCTGGCACTTTGCTAAGCCTACCCTATCTACAGACACATCCTTGCAAAATTGGTAGCTGGCTCTCCATAATGTATTTAATTGCTAAAGGGGCTCCATGGCAAAGAATAGGATCATAAGCCATAAGATCAAGGCTGAGCAGTCATTCCTTCCATGTCCCCATGGCAGGCATGTTGCTTGGTTGCTTTTGGTTGCTCTGACTGCACAAATGCATGCAGTTCTTCAACTTCTGCAGCATCAAAGTGGAAGTATCCGGTATCAGGCTCTTCAGTCCTTGATTGCAAGCCTGGCTATGGCGAAGGCAGTTGAACCCTGATGCTGAGGGTCCAGTCTTCATCTGCAAGAAAAAATAAGTGTATTTCTGTTCTGAGACTGTACGGAAATTATGTTTGGAAAGGTGTTACAGGACCTTTCCTGAAGCCCAGCATCAGACGCATAATGGAAGAAGGGTTATTGTACCCTTTTCAGGGGAACCCAGTGCACGTGATTCTCCCAGCCCCTTTGGGTTAATTATCTGATTTGCCAGGTCTCAGGCATTGAATGTAGAGCTGGTTGAAAAGTTCAGTTGAAATTAGGCAAGGGGTTGGTTGTTTTTTGTTTAATGGAAAATTGTTTTTTGACCAAATGACATTTTTTGCAGAAAGTGTCTACTTTCTGTGGAAATTTTTGATATTTTGTTGAAAAAAATGAACACCTGAAAGCCCAACTATTTTATCTGAAAACTGAAACATTTCAGTTCAAAATGGCACTGCTGTGCCTCATGGTTGTTGTAGTTGAGTTGCTTTATGGTACCATTTTCCCCTATGGGTTGGGCTGGGTTTTCTGGCTGGACGACATCTACCATGATGCACCACAGCCAGGCACTTTTATGATGTATCTGTCTCTTCTTATCAAGAGGAGTGCATCATGGGGGAGACAGTCTGGCCAGAGAGCCTAGACCATAAAGAAGAATGGGAGAGTAAGGATCCAAACCACAACTCCCATGAAGCACCATGGTGCCATTTTGAATGGAAATTTCAGTTTTCTGCAGAAACATTTTGATTTTTGATATTTTACTGGAAACCCAATATTTTCTGTTTGGGGTGGGGTGGGGGCGCTATTTTTCAACCAGCTCTAATTAAACTTATCACACACAGACCAGCAAACCCATCCGTACTCTAAGACCAGAACCTGGTATACTAACACTGAGGTGCTGGGCCTGGAGAAGTGGGACCAAAGGGAACCCCCTTTGATCAGAAGACGCGTGTTGATTCTGTAGTGCTTGCATCAGCCATCTGCCAAGCTGAAAAGCCTTTTCTCCCTAGTGGGGTAGGCAATGAGTGAACTTAATTGGGGCATATACATCCTATCCCCTGTAGTGATTACAGTTAGCAAAGAGCGGATTAACTCTGGTGCTCCACAGCTCAGAGGGAGCAGCAAAGAAAACCATGATTGTATACAATAAGTAGTCCGTGATTAAAAAGAGCTTGAATAAAAAACACACTTTCATGTGTTAATAATAATTGTTGTCTATTAATAAAGATTCTTTAAAGGATTTGTATGTTTTCTGCACAACCAACGGAAACCATGAAACAACAAATGGCACCAAGGCTGTACCGTTTTGAGCTCGTCCCTTTAAACGGCATGTTCCACATGGCCTGATTTGGAGGAGGCTGAGCTGTGCAATACGACTGTTACTTCAACTGGTGCCAGGAATGAAACTTGAGCATAGGCTTTATGCACTTGCATTTAATATGCTGAACCTGGTCCTGGCAGGGTTTGTAATATTTTATATGTGACTGGAGAACCAATTGAAGCTGCCATTAAAATTCTGGGTACACAAGGTCATCATTCTTCCACCCTGTTCTTTATTGTTGAACAAGCTTTGTGCTGAATGGGTGGGGACAGGAGAGGTCTAAAGCATCAGACTGTGAAGATTTGAATTCACTTGATTGGTATCATACGACAAGACATCTGGTTTTAAGCATATCTTTTTTTATTTTTTTACCACCATATTAAAATCTCTTTATTTTCCTTGCATTAGAAATCTTGGCGAGCTGATTGACAGATTTGTCGCTGATTTCAAAGCTCAAGGGCCTCCCAAGCCAAATGTGGATGAAGGGGGAGCTGTCCTGCCCAGCTGTGCTGACCTCTTTGTCTATTACAAGAAGTGCATGGTGCAGTGTTCGCAGCTTAGCACTGGTGAACCCATGATAGCATTGACCACCATATTTCAGAAGTACCTCCGGGAATATGCCTGGAAAATTCTCTCTGGAAACCTGCCCAAGTAAGTTTAGTTTCTCAAATGCTAGGCCACAGTCTGGGGATACCGTGTGGGAAGAGATGTGTTGTAACAATAACTGGTTAATAAATCAACACTTGCGAATGCCAGCATTGCACTTTCAAAAGAAACGCGTAGCTGTGGTATGACTCCCTTCTGTAAATCCAAAGTACTATTACGTTGCATTGAGAGACAGCAGGAGGATAAACAGAAGAGCTAGCGCTGGGATTTTCAGGAGAGTCTCTGGGAGTTAGGACCCTCTCCCATTGTAATTCAGTGGGAGTCGGATACCCTGCCAAGAAGAATAAACACTGGAGATCTGACTTTCAGAACTGCTTGTGCACAGCTGCTCCAATGGCCGATTCAGGCCCCAATTCTCCATTGCCCTACACCTTGTGTCACGTGCAAAGTGAGTGTGAAACTACTAGATCGGAAGAGTAGCATTGTACACCAACTTTACCCAGTGTGAATATCAACACAAGAGGCCAAGATGTAAGGTAGTGAAGACTCAGGCCCTTTCACATTGGGTGGTTGTATATGCAAAAGGCCTGACATACACATCTGTGCTAATCACACATGCAAATTAGAAGCAAAGTTGTACAAGCACAGTTTTGAAAATCAGGGCAATCAAGTTGATACTGATGGGATTCATATAATAACTAGTAATAAAGGTAATTTCTTTGTAGGGTTCTGAAGTGTCTTGATTGGAACTATTTTAGGTGTGTGTGTGTGTGTGTGTGTGTGTGTGTACAAACACATAATTAATTGACTTGAGCTCTGTTAAACAGGTGTCAATCCAGTGACGTCATTGAAGTCATGGATTTACACTAGTGTAAATAAGAGTGAAAATTGTCCCAGTGAATTCACTGGGAAATCGTCAATGTTAGTTACAGACAATGAACACATACAACTATTTGGTATATCCAGGCTGTCTCCCTTTCTAAATCTGGGAGCAGCAGAGTGAATTTCTGAAACCAGCTAAAATGTTTTACATATGGTAGTGGGGTTACATTTAGAAAAGTGGAAAGATGAATTTAACGTATGTTCTCCAGCAGACCTCAGTTGCATTCTTTGAACATATGACTTTTTGTGCTCTATTTCTGCTGTCCAAGATAAATATCGCTGTCCTATTTTTTTTTAAAAAGGATTTGGATTATAGACAGTTGAAATAGGCAGGGAATTTCCTGACTCCCAACTGTTCTGATCCTTTGATTAACTGCTGTGTATCAACAAATCAGTAGAAAATACAGGAGATAATCTCCGTATGCTGTTATTTACTATCCTTTTAGTTATCACAGTATTTGAAATGCCTGCTAAACTCGGAGATATATGTTGAAATCTATTTAGTTATCAGATAATAAATAGCTTATTACCATGTTGCATAATAGCTATTGAGATCTTCCTGTAGCCATTAAGCAAAGTATCGGAGCAGTTGACAACCAAGGTAGGGTTAGCCATGAAATGTGTATTAAATTTGGTAAAGTTCTAATACACTGGAATGGGCTGGATTTTCTATCACTTGAAGTCACTAAATAAAAACTGATCTCTTTCTATAAGATTTGCTGTAGCTGAAACAGAAGGGATGGGCGTGGTGTCGATATTATTGGATGAGATTCTTTGGCCTGTTTTATGCAGGAGGTCAGACTAGTTCCTCCTGGCCTTTAAATGTATAAATAGTGCATTTGGTGATGTGTGTACGTGTACCAGAAAGCACCGTTGATGGTTGAGCATCACCATTTTTGTCTTTCCCGCAGAACAACAAGCAGCAGTGGTGGACTGACCATCACCAGCCTGCTGAAAGAAAAGGAGGGCTCTGAAGTGGCTAAGTTTACTGTAGAAGAACTCTGTCTCATCTGTAGCATACTGAGCACGGCAGAGTACTGCTTGGCAACAACCCAACAGGTGAACTTCCCCCTGCAACACCTGTAATATTGTATCCCGTCCACCACACGATTATGCCGTGGCAAATCAGGCAATGAAGTACTGCTCCTTGGCCCTCAGCTGTACTAAGTAATAGCTTGTAATATTTAATTTTAAAATTAAAGGTTGCTACTCATCTAATTAAAGAAGTCAGGTTCTGTGCTGAAATTGACATAGTAATGTCAATTTCAGCACAGAAATTAGCTGCTACTGCTTTAACTAAAGAACGAAGGCGCTCTAGCTGGAGCTGTAACAGACTTGTAGCCTCTGCACATCTGGCACAAATGGGGACCTGTAACGCACATTCATCAGTGGGTGACACACCTGGTTTAGGTGAGTTAGTACCCTAGTACATTGTCATGTTAGATTTGTGTGTGGTACTGGGCCAGAAACTCTGCTTTTACAGCCTTGGAAGTTAACTGCTTCAAGGAGACACCACCATTGTGTCTAGAGCTTCTGACAGACAGGAAATCTCTATTCTGGATACTATTATCCACTAAGCAAATCTCAGACAGGTTGCAATAGTCTAGGACCATTTCCTGATTTAACAAGCTGGCTTTTCCAGGAGTTTAGGCAGCTAAGTTATCAATTTAGGTAGAAATCTGATGTCTGTCTGTTACTCATTTTGTCCCCTGACAGCTTGAAGAAAAACTCAAAGAAAAAGTGGATGCAAGTCTCATGGAACGAATCAACCTGACAGGAGAGATGGATACATTCAGCATGTATGTCCAGCAGGGCGTCTTTCTATAATGCTGGCAAATGTCATAGTTGATCTGTTCAGTGATGTAGGCCAGGCCAGTACTAGCAGAATGGCTGGTAGATGTAGGATATAAAATGGTAATGCCATGATGTTTAAGTTGAGAAATAGGCATTTCACAGGTGAAACAGCCGTCTCTCTCCTGGACAGCCCAAAAACACGAGTGGTATTGACCATTGATGTAGCTGTTCCCCATCATTATGGCCAAAGGAACAAAAAGACAGAGAGGAAAGGAAACAGTGAGTTCCCATCTGGAATAACATTCGCATTTTGGCAGCTGTCTGAGATTGCTGTTACATTTCAAGAAGGAAGCCATCCTGGTACAGTCTCCTTCCTCCAGTAATTTCCCAGTGTCAATCAGCAGCATTTTCATTATTATCAAACGCCATTTCATGTGGCATAAAATGATCGGCCCAAGGTGCAAGATCCTGGCATTTAAGGAACGTAATTGAGGGGGAAATTGTGATCATGCATTAAAATGATTTTTATCCCATGTTAATAATAAGACCATCGCTGGCACCTTCCATCAGAGGACCTCAAAGTTCTCTCCAACCATCTAGCCTATGAGGGAAGTAGTCTTCTTATCCCCATTTTTCTTTCAGGTGAGGAACTTGAGACACAGAATGATTGATTGGCTTGCCCAGGGTTACACACCCAGTCCCTGGCAAAGCTAGGAACAGAACCCAGATATCCTGACTCTCTGATCTGTCACAGAACCAATGTTCCTTGAAATCCTAATTGAACAAGTGTTTAATCAAATTGTACACGCTTCCTGATGCTTCTCGCCAGTCCTGGAGTTAAGATTTAGGAAAGATAACAAGCCCGTGTTGCTCTGCTGCTACCAGTAAGGCTGTTTTAGAAGTTTTTTCCTATCTGGCTCCAGCTAAGACAATTCCTCCTGTCTTGCTGTAATGGGCAAGATGACAAACAAAATGCCCACGCAGGATTTTCACACTCTCTAGGGCTCCTATTGCTTCTCCAGCCTGGTTTCCTTCTGATCTGAGCAAACTCCCTTTCTCTGCGCTAGCTCTCAAATCCTAACTAAGAAGAGCGAATCCCTAGCCTGTGGCTGAGGTTGGAAAGACTTTCTGTGACATGGTTGAAACACCAAAGCAAATTAGCCCGGAAGTGGGAATGTAATTTGCCATTCTGCCGTGTGGTAGAATTCTCTAATAAGGGCAGTGTGAGGGTGCGTGCTGCATTCTGCCGTGACCAGCTCTTTTGCGTCGCCATTCAGTTTCAGTTGTGGTTGTCTCACTTGGTGGCTAATGAGATGAGGTTTTGGAAGTTATTTTGACATACTGTTCACACATTTGCCATTTTGCATGCTTTAAAGTTAGACCTTCAGGGCTGATGTATCTCATAGCAGAGGCTTTTAAAGGCCTTTAAATCAGAGTAGCACTTTGGCCAGTGTAGGACACGCCTCTGAACCTCATTTTGATATAGACATTTTTCTTTAAACAATAAACAAGTCCCTTCTACTGGGATCTGGTGCTTAATTATGCCCAGGAGTAAATAAAGCCATAAAATGTTGCTGGTAACACACCCCACCCACTGTTTTACTGAACATGTCATTAGGCCTAGCAGCTGATTTTTTTCTTCTCTTTGTAATTGCATAAGAGAAGGCGAAAATCACGGGAATGCATGTAAAGAATTTGTATTAGCAATTAGCTAGGGAAGCGTTTGTCATTGGGATCGCTGTGCGGGTTGTTTAGGAAATGATAGGAGCGTAACAAACAGTGTCTACTTGAGGCAAACTTGAAGGATAAATTGAATCGTGGTCTGAACATGGAACCAAGAAACTCTTAGGGTCTCGCCCCAGCTCTGCTGCTGCTTTGCTGTGTGATTCTGGGCAAGTCACTTCTGGATGGATTTCTAAAGGGCTTGTCCTGATCCTACTGAGAGGTTATCTAGTGTGAACTTCCTTGCCTCCTTGGAAAAGGCTAGGCTTGGTGTCTCCATGCCTCGGTGTCACCATCTGTGAAACAGGGATTATAGATGCCTTTCTCACAGGGGTGATGTGGATTAATTGGTTAGTTTGTAAAGGGCTGTAAGCTCTGCATCTACGGATTGTTTGTACAGCACCGAGCTCAGCAAGGCCCCAGTTCCGATCAGGGATTCTGGGCACTACTGATCATGCACTCTGTGTTTGGTGCTGCTCGGTAAATCAGGCGCTGCTGCAATCTCATTGCTCCTGTAAGCCACTCAGGATGATTTTTAAAAGTGGATCCCCCCTCCCCCCAACTTTCTAGCTACTGCTCTTTACCCCAGACTCTGTGCCTGGTGACAAAGCCCTAGGTAGGCTACTAACATGTGGAAGCCAGTCACGAGCTGCTTGCCTTCTATTAAAATGGTCATGTTTCATTTTGGTGCTAAACCACAACTATTTTCCTACATCTCGCTGACAGCAGACGTCCTGTAGAACTCAGACGTACCCAAGCAGTCCAGTTATCTCAATCCCAGCTATCTTGGTATTGCTTGAGCTTGTGTCGTTTCCTTAGGGAGCAAATCATGTGGCGCCAACCAGATGGCAGAGAGGCACAGCAGCCAAGTAGTAATGGCCACAAGTGTTTTTGTTTTAGTGCAAATGCCACATCATTTATTTTAAAGACAACAGCCGCTTCATCTCTAATCTTTTTCAGGCTTGTTTTTGACAGGCTTGCCTGTTAAGGTCACTTTTTAGAAACAAATTCTGTATTGGACAGGAGTCATCTTTCTATTTAGGGCACTGCTCCTGTCTTCTTGTGCGTTTAGCTCTACTGGAGAGATCGGACGGCTTGCATGGGCTTTCATGTGTTGTGTATGTGTGTGAGAGGAGGGACGATGTGGAGTGAATTGGTAGCTGGTTGATGGTGTCCATCTAGGTCAATAATTGCATTTAAATGTCTAAAGGAAAATTCCAACCCTTGAGCTGGTAAGTTGCAGAGCAGCATCTACAGAATTTTACTTATGGTGGGGGTGGGAAAGAAAGTAGAACTTGGGGTTTGTTACGCACTCAGCAAGTTCCAGTTAGGCCAGCATCGTTTGCAAGGCAAATAGCAAAACATGATCATGGAGAATTAAGAGGTCATTCATGAAAGGCTTGAGGCTTGTACTGAGGTTAAAATCTGTTTATTTAGTGGGAGGGGGATTTGCCTTGTCTACCTCATAGCAAAAGCCTGCGGTAAAGGCACTGCTGGGCCACACGTCCGTGGGGATGATCCGAGATACAGAAGATGAACATACAATGTTCTTTCACTGTTGTTTTAGGATAAGCAGCCTCTACAGGCCCATGGTTTTTAAGTCCAAACTTTAGTGTAGTGGGATCAAATATGGCTCTAAGTATTATTAGTAATTTTTTTTTAAAGTCCATGGTTTAGCATGTCCTATAATTCTGGAGAAACGAGAACAATGGACTGGTGCAATTCTAGACATGCTATAAGTGACCCATCTGCTGTCACCGTGGCAAAAGGAAGACAGACATTCAGAACTCATCCAGATGCACAGTCTTAGCTGCATTATTTAAAAGCTTTATTGTAAGGTTCTCTGGTTAATATGTGAACAACAAAATATCAAGTGGAAGGCATCCCAATGCTGCATAGTATAGAACTGCCTATTGGAAATGAAATTTTAATTTTAAAAAGAACGGATGAAGTTTTGAAACAGAATCACAAACAGGCTTCAAGGGTGAGCTCTGCCCCTGGTGCTGGATGATTTAGTCATTGGGAGTGATACATGTACATAGGTGCTGGAACTAGGAGCACTGGGGTGCGGCTGCAGCCCCTGGCTTGAAGTGGTTTCCCTCATATACTGGGTTTTCAGTTTGGGTCATTGGCTTCCGCACTATGCAAATTGTTCCAGCACTGCTGCCCATGTAAGTGATCTGGCACATTACTGGGATCCCATTCCCCCTCTGTATGTCAAGGCATGGTGAAAGGTGGTATCTGTCTAGATTATATTACATCTGCTAGCTCCCCTGTAAATGGCATGCAAAATTTCCTGGGTTCTGAGAAGTAAAACTTCTAGCTGCGTATCTCTTCACAATTCAGTACAAATGTCGCCTATGTTTTTTCTCCTTTAACGTTCAGAAAAGTCAGTTTTGGCACTGGGTTGATGAGTACTATCGTAATGCCTGTACTTGATTTTTTTCAGCGTGATCTCAAACAGCATACAGCTGTTAGTGCAGGACTTGGACGCAGCCTGTGACCCGGCCCTTACCGCTATGAGCAAGGTAGGTTTTAAAAGAGGTAGCCTTAAGTCATGCTTTGCAGCTGTTGCTCAGTGACACTGTTCAGTTTCACTCGGGATGTTTCCTTTGCCCCATTCTGAGAGTGACTGTGTGGTGCCGGCTTGGGTTTTAAAGCTGCCACCACTTTATAGCTCCCAAGTCGTGCTTCATTTCCAGATGAACTTTTGTGTGACTCCGGTAAGAGCTTCTGTTTTCTCACAGCTAAATAAGCCACCTGGGCAATAGAACGCTGCCAGTGAATGTTCATCCCTGTCCTTCCTTTTAGCTCTCAATGCTCATGGGAATCTTTGAGATTGGGAGAAATTTGATTAGCTATAAATGCCATATGCCCTTTGTGTCTCACTTTCCCCTCCACACCCTCTGTCCAGGAACTTTCCCAAGCCTTTTCTAATGCTGGCCTGTGAACTGTCCGTCAAAGGGCAGTATAGGGCTGGGTTGTGCCCTGTTGCTTCTCTGATGCTCCCAGTTACATGTGGTACGGTGACTAGAGACGCCAGAAGCCTGACCTTTCTTTGTGAGTCACCAGCTCTTTTGGGTTCTGTGGCAGTTGCATTGTTCTCTTTCGCTCCTCAGCCGAAACAGAGAGCGGTGTTTGTCTTGCCAAGATGTTGTGAAAAGCCCAGGTTGCTTTAGGCAGGGGTGAGGACGATGAAAGTAGATTGACCTATGGGTTGGGTTTTCTCTCAATTAGAAATTTTAAGCAGAGGTCTCCATTTTGTAGCATCGACTTACTTCCTAACTGCCATGAGTTTTAATAGCATTCTGGTTTGTGATGTGTTCCAGCTGCAACTACCCTCCACCCCCAGTTAGAGTGTGAGTCGGAATGCAGCTGCTAACAGAATTTGTACATGTCCCAAGTGGAAAGAGAATTTTTCCAGGAAAATAACACTATGTGGGGGAGGGGATTAGCACTTCAGGTGTTGCTTATGTGCCCTGTCAGTCCCTTAGATGCTCCTACCCCCACTAGGACAGTACGTCCGAATCCCTGAGCTTGGGTTGTTTATACCGTAGCAAAACCGCAGGACTGGGAAAGCAGCAGCTGGTTGGCCATTTATTTTTGTCTTTGGAACACCAGCAAAATGAAATCCATGTGATGGGAATGATCGGCTATAAACAAGCTAAGCACTGCGAAACTTGCTAAGTAAATACTTGTCATTTGCACACCCATTCCTCCATTTGCAGCAGGCAGGCAGTTGCTTGTATGCAAGTTTTACTGGAATTTTGAAAGAGCTGGATTTGATGTAAGAGATTTTTTTTTTTTTTTTTTTTAACTTTCTCAAGACCTATTTATTACCTCTCTAGCTGAATAACAAAGACATTAACATTTGGAAGAGTAAAATTTCATTCTGTTTTGGAGGGATGAAGGATGTGCCTATGAATCCACTCTTATTTTCCTATAATATGAATACATGTCTGTTCCAGAGCCATTGCTCTTCCTTAGTTCAGATCTTTTACTGTAGATAAACCCTCAGAAATCTGCCAGGCAGACTATTCTGGGTTCTTTTTAATTCTGAAACATGGCTGTTTTCTTGGGAAAGAATTTGTTAGCAATAGAAGCGAATTATGAAATACCCAAGCATCTAAGCATATCTTGGCTTCATTATTCATAGAGATATTTCACACGGAAAATAAATAATGTGAATATCCATTTCAGACGGAAATGGTCCTGGATTTTCTCTTATCGTGAGTATTTTGGGCAAATCTTAAGTGAAGATAGGACTCCACCTTCCAAAATGTGTATGTAGCCTTTGGGTATCATCTTTGCTTCTAAGTAGATAGTTACTTTTAATAACTGCTTCCATAGCTATTGTGGGACACCACTTACGTTTTATGATGTTTTCTCCTGGCCCTTCAATTTTAGAGGTGGTATTTTTAATTATAATTGGAATGCTCTAAGTATATGTGGTGCTGCAGAAAGGCATAAGGACTGCACTATCCAACTTAGTCTGACTTGGATAAAAAGGGTACACTGGGGAGACAGTCAGCTTTGGGAGAGTTCACGAGAGAAGTGAGTTTGAAGGAGGAGAGGGATGTTGTTGGATTTGGAAGGCTCTTCGGGTGCAGAGGTAGCATGAAAAGATGTAAAGAGAGTGAGAAAGAGATGAAAGTAGTTCGGGGACAGCCTTAGGAGTATAAGGAACATATGGGGCTGGGTGGTATGGAGAGATTTATTGTATCAACCAGAAACAGTATGTGATGGTAGGTACCTTAGATCGGTTAGACAAGGTTTTCTCTGCCCCTAATGGCTGATGGCATCATTGTGAAAGCCAAAAAGTAGATGGAAAACCGTCTTGAAAGTGAGGATAAGAAACTTTACTTGGATGCAGAAAATGAGAAGAGACTCAGTGAAAGGCTTCAAATAGGGAGTGACCTGTGTGAGGAGTTGGAGAGTCTCTTTGCGCAAGGATATGTGCATGTGTCTGTATAGAACGTACACCAAACACTCCTCATACACATCTGCCAGCAGAAAAGCTGCATACAGCAGAAAAGCTGTGATTGGTAGTGCTGACCTAACTCTCAAAGCTGAACATTTCTCAGTGAAAGGAACAAAACTTGCAAAATAAACACTATTGCAATGAAGTGACCACGTTGCTCTAACGTGAACTGCCTTCATTGGAACATTTGTTATACATTTATATAATAAGCAAGGACTTCTGCAGTTCCAGTTACATAGCAAACCACCCGAGTTTTGCTGGTGAGTTTTTTTTAGGATCCTTTCAGAACCCCTCAGCACAGTACGCTTTTATCTGTGCAGTTCTCAGTTGCTCATCCCTTATTCTCACATTGTCACATTTTCTCTCTCTCACACACACATGAGTTGAGACCTTATATTTTTGGTTGTTTATGTACAATACCAGACAAAAACTATCTGGGGATATCCCAAGACAAACACAAATGGAAAAAACACTTGAGTCCTGAAGAGTAAATTTAAAATGACAGGAGAAAAGTTACCCTTTACCAGAAAAATTGGGTTCATATTTCTTTGGATGACTTTTCAGTATGTGTGCTCACTATTCCTTTCGTTGCAGCTACTGTGGGCCTATTGAAAAATGCGCACACACAGCTAATTTGAATTTTACATTTTGATAAGATTGTTTATCAGAATTGCTTTAGGAATGAAACCCAGCAAAACAAATTGTCTATAGTGGGGGGAGGGAGGGGAAGTGTTGCACCATCGGCTAAGCAATACTCTTGTGATTGTTCTGGATGGTGCTGTGTATATCCTGACCATGCGTTAATGTAAAATTACCATCGGTGGGGAAGATGTGGTGCTGGGAATGTGTGAAAGTGTGGCAAGGAAACCATTACTAGGTGTATTTCTTCAGATGTGGTGGTTGCTGTGAGCAGCTGAAGAGCAGTTGGACTAGTCTGAACAATCCCTCCAATGGGAGGTTGGCAGAGTAAGAGTTACAAACTACTGAACAGGCAGTGAGAAAAACGTCCCTCTTGCCTACTGAGTGCATGTGTGTTTCTCTTCAGTTTTGTTAACTTAAAAAGGCTTTGTATGGGACGTATGTAGACTCTGCCACTAGACACTGGAGATTTGGCTGCTCTAACCCACTAAGTCACCTATGCCACTCATAATTTGCATGGAGTTGAATATGGAAAGTCCTATGGAACAAAGCATCTGTAATAAGTTAAAAATAGCAGGGGAGCAATACATGCAGATCTGGGGCTTAGGCAAGCAAGTTTGAAGGTAGGTCCTATGCAAATGCATCCCTCAAAGGAAACACAAATAGTTGCATCTTTCTTCCCCTCAAACTAAGTCCAGTTTTCCATCCTGATTTTCTGTTGTTCCAGTCGTTCATAATTCATCTTAATGGCTTCCTTGAACGTTAGGGCCGCGGTGCTAACCTGGAACCATAATGCGACATGGAATCATGAGTGCTTACCATTACTCATTAAATGTGCATGTACGGTAAGAGCACTAAGCAGCACCTCTTTGGACATTCTTACTCCTCAGGGGAAATTGCTATGAACAAAGATGTCTTTCTAGGGACCTCAAGACCACAGCTGTTCACCTCCTTTCAGAAGGTTTCTGCTGTTTGTTTTGTATGTTTTGAACATAGTCAGAGCAGTCAAACATCTTACTGAAGGCAGCTATTCAGTTGTACTTCGACTGAAGGTCTAGGAAAATGAGAAGGGGGATGGAGTCGTTATTCTTTTGCTGTTGTATAGTTTTATGTATGCATTTCGGATGAGCTGAAGTCTTGCATTCTAGCCTTCCACACCAGTAACATTGTGAGGTTTGCTGTCAGCTGAGCTCATGTAGAATGTTTCTGAGTTGCACTGGCTTTTTTATCTCTTTTCCATCTAGCTGTCCTCAGCCTAACCTGTGTTAATGCTCCTACTTCGATACAGGCATCAAGCCTTTTTCCCACCTTGCAGTCAATTTCTGAAAGGCCCAGAATCAGGCTTTATGGGAGCTGTTGAAAAGAAACTTTCAAACAGGCTGGAGTGTCCCCATAACTTACACCAAAAGCTGTTTATCCCTGTGCTCTACCCATGTACATGTGCACACCCTTCCAAAACCCATAAGCATTGGTACATATTCCCACCTCAACTCTGTATTTTGATACATTAGGGCCATTCTAGCTCTTCTTTCTTCACGTCTTCTCTATTGTTCAACAGGCCCTATGGTTCTTAGACAACAAGTAACTAAGTTGATGAGAAAATAGGTCTTAGTTTCTCTGCCAGGGGTTTGGTCATCAGTCGGCTGATACAGAGGGCCGCCTGGTTAAAGAATTATGGTGACTTTTTCCTGGAGACTTTCTACAGAGCTTTGTAAAGGCTGGATTGGTAAAAGCCAGTGCTCACTTCAACACTCTACACTGCTGTGTATTTTTACATTGTCTAAAGCCTAATGAATTAAGAGGTCTTTTTTTTTTTTCCCCCTTGTGCAGATGCAGTGGCAGAATGTGGAGCACGTTGGCGACCAGAGTCCTTATGTCACGTCCGTTATTCTTCATATTAAGCAGAATGTTCCCATCATCCGTGACAATCTGGCCTCCACGAGAAAATACTTCACTCAGTTCTGTATTAAATTTGCAAAGTAAGTCACTGCCTGTCCCGGCGTTCTCTGGTAATTCTGATTGTCGTTAGCCTGGTTACGTACCTGCCTTTTAGTACATTATATCAGTAGCTTTTGACATAGAGGTCAAGAGCTTCCCAAGTCTAGGGGAATGGGGTCACCTGCAGCTGTCCGTGAGATTGCGAGGTGCTTCCATTCCTTGTCTTGAGTGTCCTGCTGAAGCAAATTTGCTCAGTCGTCTGCATTGATTCCTTCTCACGTGCCCGGACCAGCTGGTAAACTATTTGAATGATGGCTGGAGCACTGCTTTCTGAGTGCAGAGGTTTCTGGGGTGGGCCTCTGCAGAAGACCAGTTTTGAGTGTCTGTATGTGGAGTCCCAGTGCAGGAGAGGTTGACAATCAGCATTTGGTGGATATTTAAAAGAACACTTCAGCTTCATTATGGGAATCTCTTTTCCTTGGTATAAACCTGTGCCGGCTCCCAACTCTCATGACAATTCTTCTCCTTCTAATCACACACTTTTTAAACAACCAGCAGGCTGCGAAGCTGCATTTAACTAGAAGTAAACACACAGTGCACAATCCTGTCCTAGAGCTGCTTATTTGAGCAAAGACAGTGATCAGTACAGACTGGAAATGTACCTCAGGTATGTGGAGCCATTGTGATGATCTGCTTCCTGGCCTGTCAGTGCTAGACAGGTTAATAGTGATCGGGGGATGCAGAGAGTAAGGCTGGCCTTTTTGGAGTTCGAGGCCCAGCTCCCACTGATTTTCATTGCAGTCGAGTGCCCACCTCTCTTAGACGCCCTTTAAAATCCCAGCTTCTGAGTCTTATTGAGAGCCTATTTAGAGCCCTGTTTCTTAGAGCCAAATGACCTTTGAAGGGATTATGGGCAATTTCTTTTAAACTCCCTTGTGCTCGTCTGAGACCAATCAAACACTGCAGGCCTATGACCCAGGAAAAAGCTCTTAAAGGCCATGGTAGCGACAGCTACTGGCTGTCGAGTTCTGCATGGCCAGCCCAGCAGAAGACATGAGCGGGAAACACTGCACGTGCCATATTTCATACTTAAAAATACCTAAACATTTCATTCAGTTCTAATAAGCTAATTTCTCCAAAGTAACTTGCAGTTACGGTGTGGCTGTTAGAATCAGAGCTTCGGTTTCTACTTCAGTAGAAAAGGATGTAGTGGGAAGTCTTGAGAGCCATTAGCTTCTTCAGCAGGGCGGATGGCTTGAGAGTTACACTCCCTTTCCCGTCTCCGGGTGCTCATTAGTTTGCATTAAGAAGCAGTTACTGATCAATCATATGATGACACTGCCCATAATCACTGTTCGAAACGCTGTCTCTGAAAATTTATTGCGCATAAGCCTCCTATGTGGTTACATTTGAATTTTATTATAGCTACCATGGTGATAAATGAAAAATCCATTTACTCAGCTGTTCACAGCACAGTCTTAATACCTTGGCTTAGTTGCCTCCTTTTGAACTTTATTGTTAAGCACATACCAAGTGAATTGTGGATAAAGCACCCAGCTCTCCCATCTGGGATGAGTTCAGATCTAAGCTAGAATGAGTGAGTGGACCAAAGTTTGTTCCTTGGTGGACCTTAGAACACTGCAAAACTACCACTCAAAAGACCTCTGAATAAAACTGTGGACCTGCTCCAACGTCCCTTTAAGTTGAGAGAAAGTCCTGCTGTCTTCACAGGCTCTGGATCAGGCCCTGCATGTGAGAATTCAGCTCCTTTTGTACTCCTGATGATGAAGATTTTGCCAGTAAGACTTGCTTCTAAACAGAACCAGTACACTAGTTAATGATACCTTGATCTTTCTCAGCACCCATGTGACATTTTAATACCGACCCATATCTGGGTGCTTTTAAGACGCTCAATCCCTAGAGTATTAACGTTATAGGCTGGTCTGTCTACTAGACATTGTACCTTTTATGTGCTACACAACACTGAAAATCCTGTTTGCATTTTGTGTGTGAACATCTGTATCTTTTTGCACCGGCAGCCACTTCTTAAATCTAATTGTATTGCACTAGGGCTGGTTTTGAGTTACAGGACCACAGGGCAGATAAAGTTTCTAAAGTTGCAAAACTTAAAACCAACTCAAGAAATTTGAGCCAAATTTGGAGGAAGAAAATTCCTCACCAGGGACTTGATATGTCTTTCGGTGTATGCCATTTTTTCCCTTTTTTGGCCAAGACTCTCATGCTCCCAAAATAAACTGGGGTAGTTGAAATTCAAGATGACACTTAAGAGCAACACCAATGAACCCCTCTCTTACATTCTTACGGGTACCTAAATCACTCCTCTATTAAATAAAAAATATAGTGCGGCGGAAGAGGCTTCCACATCTGTATGAACATTTGCTCAACTTACCTTTGCAAGTTGCAAGGCGATTGGAACGGAGGATAGAAACCCAGGCGTGTGGTAAGGCTTTTAAAGGTAATTATCTTTTCCTCTGCCCCAGATTGGCTCGGTGTTAGCCACGTACTGTAGAATGTTGTGGATAATTAGAGTGAACATTTTCCTAATGACTTGGAGGGACTTTGATCGGGCATTCAGTGAGAATTCTATGAAAGAAGATTGTGACATTCAGGCAGCATGTGCTAGTGCTGAAGCAGCCTGGAGTAAATCTTGTTGATTCGGAGACAGTGGCTGATCTGAACTTCAGAGGGTTATTTAAACCTAAGTGATTCTCTATTGCTAGTGACTCAAGAACAGCTGGATGCTTTGAACAACGTTCTGTAGCAGCTCATCTCTAAAATAAACATACTGTGGTTGCATCTCTGTCTGTCTTGCTTAGTGAGGTATTGTGTTTAATGCATCATCAGTGCAAGGGATTAGGAAAACACAAGCTTGGCAAAGCTACTCCTGTTGGATGGGAGCCTTTCAAGTGCTGTGGTTTCTGTTTTCAGGCTCCTAATCTGTCTTGCTCTGCTTTATTATTACCTTGGGGACTAGTCTGCTTGTACAAAGTGTTTGGATATGATTTTACAGCTCAAACTCTAAATGAGTTGTGGCATTAAAATGTAGATCTCTGAGTACAGTGGAGCCCATTTTTCAAAGTGCTTAAACCGTGCACAGAGAATATGCAGTTGAATAAATATATATTCCTCTTATTGGGACTGTCTACACGTGCTATAGGGGAGTCGGGCTTTGGAGCTGACTTTAGGAATTGTGCTGTCTAGGCCTTCGGAGACCAGAAGCTCAGATGAGCTGAGATTCTCAGTCATGCTGCAGCACTCTTGATGGCCTCTGCCAGCCAACACATGGAAGAGGGGTAGTGTCACTCATCTTGCCCACCCTGCTGGACATGAGAAGCTGTTTCCAGTTAGACAGGGCATAATATAACATAACAGGCAGCATCCAGGGGTGGAAAGGTCACTCCCTCCCCACTTCTGTGCTCATTGCAGGGAGAGCAGGTGGCCATTCTCTGATGCCTTGAAATTTTCACGTTAAGCAAAACCTCCCCTATTGAAGATTATGGCTGGACAACTGAAAGGGGGAATCCTTGGGTCACGTGAATGCAGATTCCCTACCTGAAATGCTGCAGAATTAAGCAATGTCACTGTCTCCCATATGCAACGTGGAAGTCTTCGCACCAGACCTGCCCTTGGGTTAGACCGACATGTGAGATCAAAGATTCATGTAATCTTGCACGCTCCTCCATTTGCGGTGAACCGCTGCGGCCAGAACTGCTACCGATTGTCCGTTTTATAGGCTCGCATGAACTCGAGCTGTTCTTGGCTCTCTCTAATTGGCCTTTGGGATTTATTTATACCCCTGAAAAATGGACTTATGAGACCGATAACTTTCATCCCTGCCTTAATGCTTTCCTGCAGTTGGGGCTGGTGTTTATTTTCCTACCGTTGTTTATGCCGAGTTGCCAAGGCTCGTTTTCTCAGGTGGCCAGACTGGAAGCCATTTAGGGGCAGCCTCGGAGCTTGTTCTCAGTAATGATTTTAAAATTGTTCCCCATTGAGGCTCCCCTCCCATCCAGGCAAAGATTATTCCTTGTGAGAGGCCACGGCCATGAGTTGAAAAGAGAGAGGAGAAAATTCTTCCGTTGGAAAAAGCTGCTTTCCTTCAACAGTTTTTTGCTCATTTAATGAGTGCTTTGCATGTGCTGCAGTCACACAGCTTGTGTCATTCTGACCTGAGTAAGGGAAAGAAGAAATTACCTGGCGAGAATAACTGGTGGCAGGACAAAGAGGGTCTTGGCCAGGCTGCTTCCTTCGCGGGATGGAAATAAATCGCTTGACAGATGCAAGGGAAAACCAAACTGAATTCCAATGACTGCAGTAAGTGGAGCTTTCTGCAAGGAGAAAGAAAACAGACCAATGCAAACAAAATACAGGACTGAGCCGTTAAAGCCTAAACCTGTCACTGGGTCCCAGACATGGGACAGGAAACATGAGACATGCAGGGGTTCAGCCAAATGGAGACCAGGCGAAGGAAGCCAAGTAAATTACAAATGAGCGAATAAGAGGAAAAGGGGGCATTAGTGATGTGGTCCTACCAAACTGCTCATCAGGGTCCAGATAACTTCCTTTTGCTTGTGCGAGCCACTCTCCTTGAGTTCGGCTACTGAATGCATCTAGTGCAGCCCTTCGGTTTTATTGGTAAGTATTGTGGGCCTGAGTCTGATTCGCGTTAAGGCCCCTTTACATCACTCTGGCAGCGTAAAGGGGCCTTAAAGAGGGTGTTACTGCCGGGGTGGGGTAAAGGTAGGGTAACTGGGTGGTGTCCTGTGTAGCTTGGCCTTTTGATTGTCAACACGTGTAAAATTCAGACATGCATACAATACTGAAACATACAGGTCATGTGTCTTCTGTGTACGTTTTAGTTTTGATACACTCTGGCATAGACACTATAATACCTTTAACCATGTCTTCTGGACTGAGGGGTCAACCACTGATATCCCACCTTTTTTCACCCTCAAAACACACACCCAGATGTAGCCCGTTGGCAGTGTTAAGGAGGGGGTTGATGAGCCCTAGAATAACCGTCCACCTGCTGGGAGACCATCCCTCAGAGCAGGGGGCTTCAGAGGGTGCCAGATTGACACGGAAAAGACATTTAACATTGATAAGACTTTTCCTTCTCAAGGAGGGGAGAGGGGAGAAGCTCTGTTTCCATTATAAAAATCACCACCTACAAAACCTAAAATCAAGAAAAAAACAGAAACCTAACCCAGAAAATCTACATCCTACCATGTATCATTCAGGGTGGGCTTGTGTTTAAGCACTGAACTGGGATTCAGAAGATCTGGATTCAGTTCCCAGCTCTGCTAAAGACTGACCATGTGACATAAACTCTGGCAGCTTCCTTTCCCTAGCTGTAAAATGGGGATAGTAATGCTGCCTTTCTTCCCACCTTTTGTCTTATCTGCATGGACTGTAAGATCTTTGGGACAGGGACTTTCTCTCACTTTGTGTGTATATATACAGCACCTCAGACAGTGGATCTCTGATCTTGGTGGGAATCTCACGGTACTTCTGTAATACTTATTTTTATGTATATATAGTATTTCTATATCCTGTATGGAATAGGTTCTTGTTATAAAGATGCTTTCACTCCATGAATAGTTATTGTCCCGGTGTTTTGATGTTTATTATATAGTATGATAACTTACTTAACTGATACGAACTGACACTATAATATATTACTCCATTTTTCCAGAAATACTTACATATAATATGTACGTGGCCTCCAAATTAACTTTTAGACTAGCATGGTTAAAGAAAAAGAACTCTACTTCACCTATTTGTATATTTAAAAAAATATTGTATGCTCAGAATCCATTTGAGAGCTGTATGCACTTGCAATGCCATAATGGAAAATCCCGATATATTTTGCACAGTGTTAGCTTACGATTTTATGTGACTCAGAGTATTGAAATTCAAATACGTAATTTTGGTACTCTTCTTCTCCGCAGCTCCTTCATTCCCAAGTTCATCAACCACCTATTCAAGTGCAAACCGATTAGCATGGTGGGGGCAGAACAGGTGAGACAAATTAATTACCTCCTGCTGTAGAGCTCTCAGCTTCATGGTGTCTGTGTATCGAATTGCACAGAACTAGGGCGTTTATTGCTAAAGAAGTGGGGTGTTGGTGGTTATGCATTGTCTGAATTTCAATACAGGTAAGTGTCCAGTGATTATTTTAGGGCTTTATGATCAATGATATCATGATACATTTTGGGGAGTGGGGAAGTAGGATACGAAAGATTGCCAGGCGCCGGTAAGCAGTGTGGTCTAGGGTTAGATCAGGGAAGAGTTCAGGTTCCCGGATTTTGTTTCCAGCTCTGCTGCTGCCTCATTGGATGACTTGGGACAAAGTCCCTTCATTTCTCTGTACCTAAGATTATCCTTGTGTAAAATGGGGAGAGTGGAGTTTACAGTACCTGCCTCACAGTGCTGCAGTGAGGTTTAATGCTCCTAAAGAGCCTGGTGAAAAGCACGCGCTCAGAGTGAATGGTTATTTATGGCTAAAGCTACTGTAGGAAGTACAGATATCCTCATGAGAAATAAAGGTAGCTTGTGTGTCCAGGATCCTCCCTGGGTAACCCACCCAACCTTCCAGCACCACCTATTGTGCCGGCCACCTGCAGTCCTGCGAACACAACCAGAGGATGATGGAAATTGAAGCCCGGGACTCCTCTGTGATTAGCCCCCACCATCAGAAGGGTTGGTGCAGAGGCATCCGTGGATGGCTGTACCCTGATGTGCCCCCACGCTCCCAAACTAGGTTCAACACAGTGCTTAAATGGTGCGGAGGGCCCTGCGCAATGGTGAATTTCATCCATTCTTCATATAAATGTCCGATCTGGAAAGGGGAATTGCTGCAGAAAGCGCCATGTGGCAGGTGGCGATTCCACTGTCAATGAATTGGCTGCTGTGGCTTTTCCAGATCCAGCCATTTAAAGACTGGAAAGCAGAGCAAGGGCAGCCCGAGTGGGAAGGCAAAGCCATTTGCATCGTAAATAGTCTAGAGAGGAGCCAAGGCACGTTGGTTTGTCAGCCTGGAAATGGAAGCTCAGCTGCAAACATTGCCTCCTTAATGGAGAGAATTCGGATCAGGGCCGGAAATTGCCTCCAACTCAAAGCCAAAAGCTCAGTTCTGAATGATTGCCCCTACCTCGAAGTGCCCAGTAATCCGCCAATATCCACAGCATTCTTATTTCGTTTGTGTTCCTAGTCCTCAGACACGGCCATGGCAAACAAACCATGAAGATGATTGGTTCGGAATGTTGTATTGTCATTTGGTTGTTGCTTTTCTAAGTGCTAGAAGATTTGTGATGATGTAAACCTCTGCTAGAGAGCTGCTCTCTTGGTTTCTTTTATGACTTAAATGCAGAGTGTATCAGGTTTTTAAGCTAGTCTCCTTTTGAGAGAGCAATTGAATCATGATAACATGGCTAAATTCATAACAGGGAAAATATTGTGTGACTTTGTAAAGTTATTTTAGTTAGAGTTGGTAGAACCTGTTTTCTTGAGAACAAGAAGTTTCATTTAATCTTAACTAGAGAGATACAGGTGTGTTGATGGTGTTCAGAACAGTTCCTGAGAGACTGGCTAATGTTAAAGGAAGAGGAGGCTGTTTTTATAGTAGTCTTCCCACCACCTGTATGTGCTCATTGGGGAATTGCTCTCAGCACTTTTGACCATGATTACACACTGCTAAAGCAGCCCTGGCTTTTGAAGCGTCTCAGGTGCACAGCCCCGGACCTGTGTGTAGGTGTCCGTATTTAGTAGTGGGAGCTGAGGGGGAATGTTTCACAATGAAACGTCCAGGCAACACCCTCCAAGTGGCTTTTAAATAATGTAAAGTCTGTAACCCAATCCAACAGAAGCCTTGGACTCCTACGTTACAGCCAGAATGAACCCTGTTGTGCCTAGGTGCTGAGATCAGTTGCTGATGACATGCTGTAATAATAATAGTAAGATTAAGAAAAATAATGGAAGTGTGAGAGAAGTTTCTGCCTTTCCTTGGCTTTGTTAGTTTGTTTCCCAGCTAGCGTTTTGTTCAAACAGGATGTTAAAACGTGGATTGTGTAGATCCCTGTTTGTATTTCCTTTTATAGCAGTTTGGGGAACAAAATGCTGCACATAAGTGTGGGTTGCTACATTAGACCATGACTGGCTTTGGAGCTGTGAACGGCTTATTGTGAATGTAGTTTAAACAAAAAACGACATCCTTTATAGAGGTGTAGCTCCCAGCGGTGCCATTTGTGGTTTTCTACAGGTGCTTGCAGCATTCTCTCCAGTTTTTTGCAGCATTTTCCATCCTGCATACCTGAGCCTGCAATGGAAATTCCAGCTGCACGCACAAGCTGGTTGTGTTCATCTGATGGGTCTTGGCTTTTTATGATGCTTTTAAACAGGCAGATGGAGGCCTGACGTGGCCTGGTGGCTTAAGATGGACCATCGCAGCCGTGAGTGAGTGAGAAGGTCTGGTTGGGAAGGGTTTGGGGAAAAGAAGATTGAGGAGTCCTTTTAGATGCTGTGGGGACCTAAGAGGAATGTGATGGGGGAGTGAGACTGAGAGGAAGAGTCCAGTGGGTAAGAGAGGAAGATCAAGAGTTCTGGGTGGAGAAAGGAATTGGAAGAGAGAAATATTTGTCAGGATGTGACTTTGGACGCTTCAATTTTGGGTGCACCGCTTGAGACCCCCTTTAAAGGGTCCTACTTCTCAGAAAATACTCGACTCCCACTCGCTGAAAACTAGGCCCAGTTAAAATGTCTCAGTTTGGACATCCAAAATCTAAGGCACTCAAACTCACTAGTGGGTTTTAAAAATCCTGACCTTACTCTTAATCCACGTGCTTCTAAAACCAGTAAATGTCTGTCTGTTTTTTTTTTACTATTGTGTAATTAAAAGCGGCCAAACTGATTTAAAAAAAAAAAAAGGTTTTTAAAGGCTGAGAATTTGTGCCAAGGTACAGCCCAAAGTAGATTTGTTTGCATGAATTCCTAACCCACTTCTGTACAGGTTTTATAATGAAAATGCTCAGTGTTGTACATCCCATGGACTGTGTGTGTGTCAGATCTCAAGCTTCAGTAAGTGGCAGCCCTGCTCAGGATTCTGATAGGAAATCTCCAAGGTCACTCCAGCTGCTGTTTTGGGAGAAATCTAGAAGTAAGGTCCCGAGTTCTGGTGATAATCAGAGATCTCATGGCAGTTTTGTCAGGAGTTGATGTTAAGCCATGTGTCCTGGCTAACTTCCAGTGTGGGCAATTATATTCTGCCTCCTTCAGTTCCTTTCGTATTTCCAGATGGATATGATATTCCTCTCTTTAAAAACACTCTGGTGTGGTGGTGCTGATACAGAATGGCTGCTGAGGGAAGCTTGGCAAACCCTTTGGAGTGTTGCTGGATGAAAGATGCTGTGGCACTTATAAAATGCCTTTCATCTCAGGATCTCCATGTGCTTTACAAACCATTTCAGACACACCGCAGCATCGTGAAGTAGATAAGTGTGCTCAATTTCAGAGATGGGGAAACCGAGGCACTAAAGTGGTTTGTCTAAGGTCACACAGTGAGGCCAATGGCAGGCTCAGGACTGGAACTCTGAGCTCCTGGCTCTCAGTTCTTTGGCTCCTTTCTTCTCTGTATCTTCCCTAGAGATCCCCAAAAGTAACAGACAGCAAATAGCACCCTTAAGAAAGCAAGTGATTTTGTCAGTATCTTTGACATGTATAGAAACAGTGAACTTTGATACGTACCCATGTATCAGGGAATGCAAATGACTGGACAGATCAGGAGAGTTTGCATTACCTTTACATTCGGGTGCAGCTGCTGGGTCTGTCGCCCCAGCTATTCTATCTTAATACACCTGTCTGGTGTCTGGGACAGCCCGGGTCTTTGTTTAAAGACGTGGCTTGGGTGGGACAGGCTTTCAGATGGGAGAACAGTGAACTTCTAATTAATGTCTTAAAAGCTACCAGCTGCCAAGGAATCAGAATCCGGGTCGCTGAGCAACATGCTTTTGTGAAATGAAACCGGATCTTTTTAGAAAATAAAATAAAAAGATGTTGCTGTGTTTGCGTAAAAACTGAACTCCTGCTGCTTTCCCTAATAGAAAGCAAATGGCGGAAGTACGATTCCTAGTTGCCTTGTATAATAAACATTATTAGAGACTCCAGGTTGTTACTGGAGCTTTTCTGAATAACCATGTGGTTCAAGTGATTAACCCGTTCCCAGCAGTGCATTTGGGTGGTTGTTATTAGGGTAATGGAATAACTTGTCCATTTCAGTTCTCTGAACACTGTGTTGTCTAATGCAAACAGAACAGTGAAGGTCTGTTAGTCTTTGATCTACCCTGAATCCATTTCATTCGGAGTGATGCTTGATCTCTTGGGGATGGATTGACAAAGATATTTAGGCGCTTAGGGATGCGGATAGGCACTTAGTGAGATTTCCTAAAGCACCTGCATATGGCAGATGACTAACTCCTATTGATTTTCAATGGCCGTCAGGTGCCTAACCTGCTCTAGGCACTTCTGAAAATCCTGCTAAGCCCCTATTTGCATCATTAGTTGTCTAAAGACCTTTGTAAATCTGGCCCCTGGGGCAAACGTTACCATAATAGTGTTGCTTTTTAGTGCCACTGCTGATCTCTGAAGGGAGTTTCTCAGCTATTTAACAGCAGTCTCATTCACATCCAGGCACCGGTACAATGTTTGTGAACGTGTTTTTTTATTATATGGACTCCTGTTCCCACTGCACTGAACCGAGACCATCAATTCATTTCTCTCACAGCTTGAGACCGCCGTCGTAGAGTGTCCCTTTTTGAATCTGGTCCACATTTGAGCTGGTGAACTTGCCATGGCCACTCCTTTTGGGATCAGTATCCCAAGGATATTAACTAACGTCCGATGGCCTTCGTATGTTAACTCAACTCTGTGTGCTTAGGACCGTAACACAAATGTCCTTAACTATTGTAGGGATTTTTGCAGTGCTGGTAAGGTTGTGGGGAGCACACTTCCGCCTGATTCTAGCCCCTTTGCAGGAATGAGCTGTGTATCTGGATACCCAGAGTGTTTCCTGTCCCATGTTAACAAATCAAATTGTGCTCCAATTCTGGTTAAGCAAAAATACAGCCCAAATGACTCAGGTCTCTGCTCTGCGGCTGGTCTCCACCCTGCTTTTTAATTCATACCTCAAGGTTTTATGGTAATTAAGCTCTGGCTGAGGGCACCTTTTCCAGTTTAGCTATTGATGAGCAGCAGCCCCTTTCCCATTATGCTGCATGAAGTGTTGGATGAGGCCAGTTTTGTGAACTTTCACATCCACCGTACTGAGAGTTGCACTGAGTCAGTAAGTGCAGTGCGGTAGGTGGGAGCTGTTGGTATATGTACTGTTCTGTCGTTTTATTAGTGTTTGAGTGAATGCAGACCAGTGGAGAGCATTGCAGGCTGGGAGGCAAAGGGATCAAGGTGGTGTTGAGTTGGTCGTAGTAACTCGTTAACATTACAGCTTACAAATGGGTGACAAGCTATGATCCTGAGCTGGCGTAAATCACCATAACTCCATTAAGGTCAGGGGAGATCTCCTGATATACACCAACCGAGGGGTCTGGTTCTTTGAGGCTCCATCACAGTGATTCATTCCTTCTGGGCCAACAGTGATGTAAATGCCAAGATGTTCTGGGATTGTAAAGAGTTTAACTTTTAGACTTTGTGGCATCCTAGCTGCTAATAGCACTTAGTAGCTGGGAACAGTATAACAGCAGAGTGTGATTAACTATTACAGCTGCTGTTGGACACTCACTCTCTGAAGATGGTTCTCTTGGATCTGCCTTCCATTGGGTCCCAGGTGGTGAGGAAGGCTCCTGCCAGCTACACAAAGATAGTGGTGAAAGGCATGACGCGGGCGGAAATGATCCTGAAGGTAACTCTCGAGATTCTTTATTCTGAGTACTGAGTCTGCTTGACCTGGAAACTTGGAGTGTGACGGCCATGGGGCCCTTTCTTTGGAACCCAGCATTACCGAGAGCACATGTGCGTATGTGCACATTGGTACGGTGTGGCTGGCATTTCCAGGGCATCAGGGAGTTGGGCACTTGAATCCCATTGACTTTCAATAGGGTTTGGGCTCCTAATTCCCTAAGGCACCTTCAAAAATCCCTCCCCATATGCTTCAGAGCAAATGCTACAGCTAACGTTACTTCGAGACTTTCCCGCATAGCTGGTTGGTGAGAGCCAAGTGGGGTGGACCTGGACCTGGACCTGGACCTGTTCGCTGTCTAGTCGAAGAGCCAGTCCAGACACAGCTCCATTACCTTGTTGAGTGGGGTCCTCTTTTGCTTTTGGAAGCCTGTGACTGTTAAATGACCCAAGAACAATTTTTGTCATAATATAAACTAACAATTGATGTGAAAACACCAGAGCTTGTTGGGTCCTTGGAGTAATATATCAGATTTGAGACTGAGCTAATACCAAGGGCAGGCACAACAGTGCTGAAGGTCATGACCTCCCATATCTCCTGTGGATGGCGCTGTCTTCTGCTTGTTAACAAAATAGTGCAGATAGTTTTGTGAGAGAGAATCAGTGGGAGCTGGGATCAATTATAATGTCCAGGCTACGCTAACACAACAATGAGGGGCTAATTTAAACTAGGGGAGAGGAAAGTGAGCGGATTCAGTTTTCAGGCTGTCGCTTTGTCCTTAACTCTGTGCACTTTAGTGCTGCCTGCTGGCTCAGAGAATTGGTTTGTTCAACACATGCTTGCCACGCTCCCAGGCTAAGGCCACGGTAGGAGTTTGTGTGACCACAGTACCATAGTAAAAGAAAGTCCCTTCCCCAAAGAGCTTATGGATAGACAAAACAAAAGGTTTTTATCCTCCCTTATCATACTAGCTTCATCAGTCATGCTATGAAGTCAGTGCAAGTGGTGAGACACTTGTATTGACATTGCAGCAGATGCACAGATCCTTTAGGCAATGCATGATAGTGCAACTGTTAATATAATGCAGAGACCTTGCATTAGTCGCGTGTCTGTTTTTTCAGAGAGCACAGACTGTCAGTGCTAGTGTTTAAAACACGTCTGCTTACGCTGAGTGTGTCATTTAGTGCCAACGGAACCTTTAGTTATTCTCCCTCTAGTCAATATTTCCTTTACCATATTTCATACCACCACACTCTCCAGAATCCTGCTGTGAACCCACAGTCCCGGTAATAAACTAGTGACCAGAATAATTGGTTGCCTTATGCACCCAAAACAATCCAATCGTCATTGATTCCTGTTCCTTTTTTATTAATCAGTCCCCTCACACCAAGAACCTGGCATCTGTGCTCTGGCACTTAACTTGTAAGTGGTGTTGATGTGTTGGAGGGAGTTTGCACTCCTCCCCTTCTAGGACTCTCGGATAGTGGGGTGCAAACTCTGGCTGCTTTAGTGATGGATTTATTTTTGATCGTTTTGATGGATAATATAGTTTTAAGCATTTTTTTAAAATTTTTTATCAATTGAAATGTTCACGGTTGTGCAGAAATATGAGGGGTTGTCAGACAATTATTTAATGACCGTCAATATTGAGATTCACAAAGTTAAAGCTTTATAACCATTAAATTGTCAACATCACATGTCAAAATATACAAAGTAAACATCCTTAAATGAAACTCTACGTTCTCAAGCAGCGTGTTTTCTCCTTTGCCCATCTGTAAATTTTTATTCTTGATGGAACTATTTTTTATCGGTTTGTCCATGTGTTGTGAAACCGTTTACTGATGTTTTACCAATAAAAATCTAATCCTTCCAAGCCCATTTACAAGGACAGTATTACTCCTATCACAAGCACAGTTCGGCTACATTTATCTGGAGTGTTTTCAGGGACATCTCCTACCTATTGCTTAGATGGCTTTTAGATGAAGAGGGGATGAATCCATTGCACACTACAATGTGGGGAACATTACTGCACTGTGGTTTACCTGTATTATTCATTCTATGTGTATCATAAAACCTGTGTATGGCACAAGAATGTAGTTAACATAAATGCCGCCACAGGACAGACACACCAAGAATGGGTGGCTGAGTGTAAAAATCCACTGGCTTGGGTGAGAGTCTGGGAGTAAGGAGGAGGTTTCCTTCTCCTCCAGCTACAGTGTCCTGGGTTCCAACTTTTCGGCATGGCACAAGGCTTTTACCAGGGTTCTAAATGAAGGATTTATATGTGTCTACATGACTATGGTATTTAGTTGGGCTGGTGTGCTGGGAAAGAGAGAGATGTCTCAGTGACAGAACCCAGTGTAGGGGGAGATGGGTCAAAGGAAACATATGGAAATGGTTGGAAGGACAGGGAAGATTTTTTCTTCCCCCAGTAAGATGTTTTGCTGACTAGCGCCAGTGAAAGACTTTCTTTATAGAGCTCATTGCTGACCTACTTACCTATTTTGATGTGAAAGCAGCTTATCCTCTTTCCAGCTGTCAGTCTCCATTTTAATCACTCCTCACTTCCTCCTGGGCAAGGGCCCAGTCTCTCCCAGCCCCTGCTGGAAGTCAGTGGGCTCGGCACCACACCAGATCCAGCCCTTATGGAGAAGTGTTGGTACAGATAAGTCCAGAGAGCCTTGTCAGAGATCGAGGGGCCATTAATGTCGGTAATGTAATAAGATGGTCTGGTGTGGAGTGACTTTGGGTACTCAGATGCCATGGTGCGGATAATACTAAAATAATAAATACCAAGGGCTAGATCAACTAGGGATGTAAATAGGGTTTAAAAATAGCAACAGTGTAACCTATTAAAATTCTGTTGGTTAAACGGTTAACCATTAAGGTGGAGAACTTGGGGTGCGGGGGGTGCTGCTGCCCGCGCCCGGGATCCCGGCTGCCAGCCCAGTGCCTAGGATCCCGGCTGCCGGCCCCGGGCCGAGGCAGCAGCGGAGTCCTGGGTGGGGCTGGCAGCAGAGTTTTATCATTAACCAAAACTGAGACATGAGGTTAAAAGTCAGATGCCTTAAAACAAGCGACCAATGCAGGTCTCCCTGGCGAACTTCATGGTATGTAAAGCAACAGTAGCCTGGTCAACTGATAGAATTGGGCAAACCTTCCAAAACCATGAGAAAGTAGCCTACTTCAGGCTCCAGTCCAGACCAGGAACTCTGACCAGGGGCATGAACCTGACCCGGCTTTTGAGCGAAACCACCTTTCCCTCCTCAGAGCACTATGGTTTCATTGGAGATTTGGTGGTTTGGGACAGGAGGTGAACTCAAGTTAGCTGAAATCCCCCCAAAGCCAGTGTGGAGTTTCCCCACAGTTTTGCTCACTGATCCCAATCCATGGGGGTGCCACTGTCCCCATGTGGCTTAGATCCTGTGTACCCTAATCATTGTCTCAAGTAGCTTCCTTGGACCTCAGGCAGCCTAGCTGTGAAATGGAGTGAAAAGCAGGCCCTTGCTGCGAAGCAGTGCCCCTAAACTGCTTTCCCGGGGAGATGACTGATGGTAGAAATACAATCCTCTCCTGCTACCCGACTGGATGCTGTCTCTGCTCTGTATAGTGGAAAGGGAGCTTGGGTAATAAGCAATTCAGGCTAGGGTTGAGGCTCATTGATGGGGCAGCAAGGGGGAAGTCTGGGCTCCCACTTTGCACATGCTGCCTGTCCTGAGCAGAGGATTTCTGGCTCCAGAGCTGTTAGCTAGGGCTTTTCACCAGCACCACGTTCATGGCTCTTCTCTCTGGGCAAGTTCCTTCCAGTGGTATTGAAGAGACTCATGCTTCCCAGTTTAATAAAATAAAATTTCGAACCCCGCCCCCCAGTGCCTGCCAGCCCGCAAGCTGGGAGGCAGAGTCCTACAGCAGCTTCAACACAATACGCAGTCCCTGCAGCCTCTCGGATCTGTTCAGCTTCTGTGTAACAATTGACAATTCATAAACGGGACCCCTGGCCCCTCCCTGCTCTGGGATTCGTCACTGCTTTGCTCTGCTAACTTGCCCGCACCTTTCAGTAACAGTATGCGTGGATGGCCTCTTTTCCGTTCTTTAGCCATTGTAGGTTCCGCTGGTTTGCACAGAGACGAGACTGGATGCTGTTTGTTCTACATGGATAGCACAAGCTACCCACAACGGTGTCTGTGGCATGGTGCCCAGACAGTTCCATTGTAAGACGGCCCTGCTTTGGGCTCTGGGTGAAAGGCCTTGGATGTCTGTGTGGAGATCGTTGGCAGGACAAAGCACAGGGACTGAGCAGGAGAGTGTTGTCCTGAGCCCTCCGGAGCTTTGCTCTTTTAGAGCACAAGGCTTTATCCTGCAGTTTAAAAAGCAGAATTTGCCTTTACCCAGGTAAAGCTGGAACAGGACTTCAGCTCTTGTAAAATGTGCATCGTTCCCCTCCTCTCCAGAATCCCTCCGCCTGGATCTAGTTTAAACTGTAATGGTTCTTCATCCTTTGCAGATGCCAGGTTGTGTAGGGGACAATTCAACCTAATGAACTTCAGTTGGGCTTTTAGAAGCTCTGCTTATATGTCAGGAGAAACTTCTCCCTCCACCATTGATATGGCTCTTCGTATAGCTGGTTGATGGGTTAATATGTTCATAGTTTGTGTCTGATGCATCTCTCTCTCTCTCTCTCTCTCTCTGCAGGTGGTTATGGCCCCTCATGAGCCCCCCGTTGTGTTTGTTGACAATTACATCAAACTCCTTGCTGATTGCAGCACAGACACTTTCCAGAAGATACTAGACATGAAGGTTAGAACCAACCCAGCAGAATTTATGGTCCTATAATAAAGTCCCCCTCTGGAGAAATCTGAATGCCTTGGCAACTGTTTCAGTGGAAACGTGTAGGGCTTCTGAAGTATGAAAAGGCAATTTACAGAACAAATGCATCCTCCCTGCTCTGAAAGCGTGGAGAGTTGCTACTGATTGATGGTCTTACCCTGCTTTCCCTTTGCGCACTGACTTGGGAGTTCAATCCCAGGCTTCAGGCTTAGCTTTCCTTTGTCCAGAACAGTGGGGTGGCTGTATCCTGCCCTTGCAGGGGAGGAAGAGAAGACAGATTTGAACCTGGGTCTCCAGTAGCTCTTTTCCGGTGCCCACTGTCCAGGTTCAGTAATGCTGTCACTGTGTATTGTGATTCCACTTTCCTTTGTTTCTTAACAGGGCCTAAAGAGAAGTGAGCAAAGCAGCATGTTGGAACTGTTCCGCCAGAGGCTGCCCGCCCCTCCCTCTGGGGTAGAGAACACCAGCTCCATGTCCCTGATGGCGCCCACGCCTGAGCAGGAGTCCTCACGAATACGAAAACTGGAGAAACTCATCAAAAAGAGACTGTAGATGAACAGAAGCAACATCTGCCGCCCCCCCCAGCAACTTTGGCCAGGTCTTGTGCAGGCTCCCCATTATCCTACACTACGTCACTGAAAAATAGCTGCCTAATCAATGCCACGCCCTGAGACGCATTAACCGTATTGCTCTGAATGGAGAAGCAGCATGATTTTGGCAAGGGATGAATGCTTCCCAGGGCTCTGTGCCCTAGGGATAGATTAGCCGAGTGAAACCTGTCTCACTGGGGCTTCTCCATGCCTACGGCTTGGAGGAGATGCAGTGAGTTGAAAATGGTTTGACTGAATTACATCCAAGGTTCGCTAGCTGCTCACACCATGCTAGTTGCTCAGCGTCTAGCTGCAGTTCCCATTTGGGGTCTCCCAGTGCGGCGTGTTGGACTCTGCCCTGAAAGTGACAAGACGACATTCCTTCCCCATCATAGAGCTGGTTTCTTTAAAAATAAGATTCCCTTAAATCGCTGGCTTCTGGCCCCTAGGACTCTACCAAGCTCCTTATAAATGCCCAGGACAGGACACTGCAACATCTCCCCTGTGCTCTGAGGGCAGGACCGTGTGCTGAAGCTGTCAGTAAAACAGCAAGGAGAACCCTCTGTGGGAAGCAAGGAGGGGGCGAAATCACTGCATTCACCGGTCAAATCACACCTTACTGCTAACAAGCCAGCGGTCTCTGTTGCTTTTGCTGCTTTAAGGCCAAATTCTACATCTGCTGAAGCAGTCTCCAGCGTCTCATTATTTTCTCACGTGCACTGGGCTACCCCGCCCTCTCCAACCCACACTACACCTCTCCCTCTCCTCCACAAAGGGCTGTTCATGGAATAAGCCCTTGGAAGCCAAGCATCAAATGGCACTATCCCCCCATGCTTGTGGCATCCTGTTTCATGCCAGCTGGAGCCCAGAATGTGGGTGTGCCACTTTGGCACCATCGCTGCCCTGAAGGCAGAGCCGCTGGAAAGGTTAGTTTTAATAATAGGCCTGCTGCTTCCAGGATTTCTTCACAGGATGGAACTCTCTCACTGGCTTGAAACGTAAAGGACCTGGTTCTCCTCTCGCTTACGCTGCTGCAACTTGGACTGAGTGGCTCCAGATTTGCACTGGAATATCTGAGGGGAGAATTGGGCCCCAAATCTCACAACACAGCTTGTTTTAAAGTAACCGGCATTGCAATCCAGTTCCCATTGGAGTCAGCAGCAAGATGCTCTTTGATTTCAGTAATAGCAGGATTTGGGTTGATGGATCTAAATTGTAAAGTGTTTGTGTGAAAAGTGCTCATCTTGGCACATGCTTGCCTGAGAAGCCTTAACTGAGTGACACAATCCCCTCATTATCACCACTGGATTTCTTCTCAAACCCCCTGGCAACCTCTCCATGTGGTTCTAAAGGTGTGTTTCAGACCAGCTGATGATACAAGACCACAGGGATTTTGATGGTGGGAGAGTTCATGTGCAGCTTCCGTATTGTAATCCATGCTTTCCTACCCAATCTGCAGGAGGCACGTGCATGCAGTGTTTGTGTCAAGTGAGGAGTCACTGCAGCTGACTAGCAATGGTCTCAGGAGAATCACACTCCACGGCACATCTGGCTTGCTTCTAATTATAGTATTGATTTGGGGGCCATTGTAGATCCAGGTTGGTTAGTGTTTGCAGCCACTGTTCAGGGATCTGTAGTTCACTTGAGGGAGAGGGAGAGAACACTCCAGATCAAGTACAGATTTATTTTAACCAAACTCCACACACACAAACCTGTGTCTAAAATTAAAAACCCTGCAGAGTTTCAGTGACACTCGGGAGTGGGGGGCACCAAATGAGAAATGTCCTTGTTGAGACTGAAAATCTGGCCTGACAGTAGCTTCATGTTCATCTTTTTTGCACTGTCCTGTCCTCTCTCACTGCACCTGCTCCTTCCCATGTGCGGAGGGAGGGAGGGAGGGACGGATGCGCGCACACACACACACACACACATATATATATAAAAATTATGGCTTCCATGCTCATAGCTGAGGAGACTGGTGGGGGATTTGTTTAAATCCTGTTACAAGTAGGATCTGTTAGAAGTTGGATGTAATAAAATAACCTGAACCAAACTCTGGTCAAATAACTGATAATGGTTGCAATATGTGCAATATTCTGCATTTCCTTTACTGATAGCTTATTTGATGGGCGCTAAATTAAGATAACTATTCATGTTACTGAGCATTAACACTCCTGTCCCTCCTCAAAAGACCTTTATTGATGTCTAGGTCTTGAACAAATCTAATATTCATGCTCCATCCCTGCCTTGTTTCCTTTGCCATAATTTGCTAATTTCCAGCATGTGGTAAGACAAGCTGCTGAAGTTCCTACCTTCTCTATATCTGGCTCATTCCCAGCATTCAGTGGTTGGGGTGACCCTGTTCCTGTCATAGGTTTTTAAAAGTGGAATCAGAGATGAATGTTTTGGAAAAGGTCCCATAACTTTCCTTCACTTCCCTTTAATGTCCCCAAGTATCATTCTCATATGATTATAGGCCAGCTTTGAATAGTTCTGTTGGAATAAGAAGTTTTGCCTTTTTTTTTGTACTGCCAAATAATACATTAAGCCTGCATTTTCCAAAGTCATTGGTGATTTTTGGATTTCTGACTTGAGACACCTTCAGTGGGCCTGATTTTCAGAAGTTGGATGTTTAGTGCCTTTGAAAAATCAGGCCCCGTTAAGGTGACTCGAGTCAGGCACCCAATCACTAGTCATTTTTGAAAACGTAGGCTCCAGTGTTTTCCCTTATCAGCCCCGTGTGAGTGGTACAGTAGATTCTGTGCCTGGGCTGGTAATGATAATAGTGATTTTTCCAAGACTGATAAATCAGCCTGTGTCCTACTAGTTTATGAACCGATAAACTGATTACAGTAGAATTGGTAAATCAGCAGATAAAATCATTTGTATCTGACCAAAACTGTTAAAATAAGAACTGACACTTAAATGAGAGTTGAGATATTGTAACACCTACATTAACCTTGTCTGCACCAGGAAATCTTTACAAAAACTCCTACCATTGAAGCTGGTTTGAATGGTGTGCTGGTGTTAAAATGCTGGGAGTCCTAGTGTAGGCAGCTGTTGGAGGCAGCCGGACATGTACACTGGGGAGTCCTGTATCACTAAGCATGCACCTGAAACAGTGTTAGTGGGAGGAATTTTTGTCAACTTGGCTAAAAGGGGTGACGACAAGCTCCTGTTATGTGAACTTCTGAAACCTTATCAGAAAGCCTGTTGTTGGATCACACCACTTCCCCTAGGTGCCGATTATTGTTTCTGACGCTTCTGCTAGTTTTACAACCTGCATTCTCAGGGAGTGGTGTTTGTACTTCATACTGATCAGTTTACAAAAGACAACCTAAGAAAAGAGGGTGTGTAGTCGGTCTTTCCTGAAGAACAAATAATTAAACCCAATGTGGGTTATTACTAGTTATTACCAAATGCAGTAGCCAAGCCCTATGGGAATGCAGGTTGTTTGCATAGATTCATTATCTGCGTGCTGGACTAGTAACTTCACTTTAAATTAATTTTTTCCTCCCAATGAAAATTAGCAATAGCGTGGTCAGTGCTGTAATATACTGTGTAGGGATGAAATCTGAACTATTTCCATGTTTCTTTACCCAGAAGACTCCTAAATTGTCAATCTCTGCCATTCAGAATTCTAGAAATAAAAGGAAAGGTTAACAAAAATAATAAAAAAAAATCAGAAGAATGTTAGAAACCCAGGTGCATTGAATTGTACCCTGTAAAGGACATGTTTGCATTTGTCTTCCTTGATTTGAAATTTTCTTCTCTTGTTCTTGTGTATTTATCAGAGTGGACGCTTCTGAAAGTATAAGTGTCAGCTGGCTGAGTTGTACATTTTCTGAGGATAAAGGAATTGTGTTTCTGTATAAAATATCTTTTTAAGTTTTCTGTCCAGGAAGTAATTTCTTGATGTATATTGGAGTGTGACACTAAAGCTAATTAAATCATTACTAATGACCCTCTTCTAGCCTGTGTTTTGAAGCAATTTATATAGAACAAACTGGATCCGATTTGCATTTGGAGGGAGGGAATCTGAAAGCTGTGTGTACACGTGCCCATACACACACCTGCACTGCACAGAATGCAGCCTTTGTCCTGAGGGCGTTTGCTTGTGGAAGAATTCTATCCCTGTCTTTGTATTCACCACCGAGTGTTACCTGATGTGTTTTAAAATCCTCTTGCGTGGTGCTCATGGTATAATACAACACGTGCTGGCCTTGTAAACTTTTACAAACCTTTCTGTATCTCATTTCTTCCCCTCTCTTAGCAGACGGGGTTTCCCTCTTGTTATCTTTCCACCTTGCAGATTTCTATGGCTCCAGCAAAGTGACCTTTCGCAGACAGTATTTGTATTAGTAGCAGCAGAGCCAATGGGATTCTTCCCTGCCCAGCCCAGGTGGGAGGCAGTCCAGGAAGTTAATCTTGTTAGTCAATAATTAGATGATGATTAGTAATGTCTTTACTGCTTACCTTCCAGAAAAGACTTCTCTGGGTACCTTCTGTTTCCTTTATTAATAATGAAAAGTTAGTGACTTTTAGAATACAATAGATATTATTTTATTTTAGTCCACTTCTTTTGCTCTGAGAGTCAGTGGTTCATTTCTCTCTCCAATATGTTTCCCCTTGCCCTTCCTCCATTAAGTGATCAGGCAGAAATGTGCATGTTAATCCACCTCTTTCACCAAATTTGCAGTGATGAATGTGACTCTCTGTGTTATATCATGAGAGTCATAGTGAGTTTCTCCTGACTGCAGGTTGGGAGTGGTAACAGAGGTTTTCCCGTCAACAGGCAATTTAAGACAGGTTGGCTCTTTAACATGCTATACTTAAATGAGCTGAAATGTTTTATTTCCGGCTATGTCACAAGTTGTTTGAACAAAACACATTCCTCTGTGTGTGAGTTGGTATAGGTGGGGCTGGTAGCACCACCTATTGGCTATCATTAAGGTTGCCTGACACTTCCCATTATAAGATCCTGTTTTCTATTCCTTATACCTCTGCCAAATCCTAACTGTTTGGGCTGAAATTTTCCATGCCAGGTGTCTGTCTCACCATTGCTCTGCTATCAGTGAATGTCTATGAAACCCAGCAAAGTGTCCTGTGTCTCTCTAGTGCTGTTCCCAATAAAGGATGACAACCTACCACAGCTAGTAGTTACTCCATTAGCTCTGTGAGGTGGATCTAAAGGTTCCAACCTTACTGATGACCCATGTGGTGTTGATATAATGCTACATAATGGATTTTCTGTTTCTTCAGTTTGCTTTTTTAAAAAAATCTAGGAAATTACACACCAAAAAACTATGTTAAAATAACATTAAGGTTGCAAAGTCAAGCACTCAAAAGTTAGGAAATGCCAGAACTAATTTTTTTTCTGTGCAACCTTAATTCAGCACCCTTGTGTGTGTGCAATATGATACAATCTTTAATTCCATGATCACTTACTATTTTCCCCACAGACAACCTTTATTCTGGCATTTCCTAACTTTTGAGTTCTTGACTTTTCAACCTTAATAATGTTCTTTGTATGTAGTTGTGTGTGCAATAGTTATGTTGTGGTAGCCATTTGGCTTGTATTAATGAAAGCATGCACTGTGGAACGTCAGTAGCAATCCTCCCGGTATAGATATTATATATTTTCCAAGACAGGCTCATCCAAATTCAGGTAGTAACAGATGAACGTTATAGTGTTCTGTTGGTTGGTTTGTTAGCTCATCAGGCTGCAAATAAGAAATTCCGTTCCTGTTTGTGGTGGTTTTGTTCTGTCTAAACCACCATGAAACCCATTTTCTAACCCTGCAAAGTGATCTACGATGAAACTGATGAATCTGTTACTGAGTTCAGTTACAGCACGAGAAGACGTGGACTGGTTCAATGTTCTGACTCTGTCTTGTCTTGTGTTGAGATGCTCTTGCACTGGGTCACCTCGTAGGCTCTCGGCAGAAGGTTGTGAACCTCGTGACCTTGTTAAAAGGGCCACTTTCTTGGGGATCTTTTCTTCTGGAGCCCCCAGGAGGACACAGTTAATAAAAGGAGTAGCAATTATAATTCAGGGTAGGAAATAGTGAAATGGAAAATACAGCAAACATTTCTGTTAATCTCACCAAACCCTTTGCTTATTTTCAGCCAACAGAGCTCACAGTTTCCTGCCTGCTGGTAACGCTTAGCATCTACAAAGCGCTTTACAAATGTTAACTGAGCTTCCCAAGCACCTGTTTGAGGTAGGTGAATGTTATGTCCATTTTACAGATGGGGAAGCAGAGGTACAAAAATCTTGTGACCTGTTCAAGGCCAGCCAGTGAGTCAGTATAACACAGAGGAGTGTGTGACTCCTGGCTCCATGCTGAGATGCCACTATACCAGGGTGCTTTCTTCATGTTGGTTAAAAAGGGGCCGTATTAGGCAGCAAACAGAAGTGAAGCTGTTGGATGCTGTGAGGAACTAGATCCAACTGCTAAGGGGAAGAGTGAGCCACCTGCCAGAATCCCAGCTGCTACCAGCAACTGAGAGTGGCAGAGGAGTGCATCCTCCACCCCTGGGTTTAAAGTGTTTGGAAAGGTGCTCCACACCAGCAATGACACACAGGGATTCTGTGCTGTGCAGCAGAGGGAAGTGCTGGAAACTGATCAGGGCTTCTAATAACCAGAGTTACATGCAGTCGACGTTCATGAATTTAGTCTACATCCCAGGGAAACAAACGTTTATAGAGCACATGTTAAATCACCTGCCTTGAAGTTTAACTGAGTGTGATTCAAGCACCTTATGTTTTCGCAGACCACGCTGGGGTGAGAAGCCTGGAATTTCCCATTGTTTGGAAATGATTTTTCCATCATTATCAAATAACTCAGATTGCTCCTGTTGGTTTTTTTTCTCTCTCATTGATTTCTCCTCTGGACC